TTGTTGTTTGGCGGGTCTGGGCTGGGGATTCGAACCCGCCACCTTAGGTGTACGTGGCTGGCGCCTTAGCCGGTTGAGCTATAGACGCCGAGCCATCTTCATACTATTCTTACAACATTTTTTGTAAGTTTGAAGTAATATGAAAATAAACAGTTAAAAAAAATAACAATTTTTCCAGCCACATACACCAAGGGTGGCAGGTTCAGACCTGGCCCAAGCCAACTAAACAACTACAACAAAAACAGCCAGGCTGCAGTTCCGGCTATTTGGGAGGCTGAGGCAAGAGAACTGCTTAAGCCCAAGAATTGGAGGTTGCTGTGAGCTGTGACATCACTGCACTCTACAGAGGGCGACATAGTGAAACTGTCTCAAAAAAAAAAAACAATTTCTAAGTGCAATTACATATACAAGATACTTGGATTTATAAAATAATCCATGATTCATCCTTAAAAAATATCCACAGGAAAATGAGCAAAGGCTATAAATAGGCAATTAGGAAAAGACCTAAGGATTCCAACAAGCATGAAAAGCTGGTCAGTTTCACGAGTGACCAGGGAAACACCCTAGCGAGATGCCACATGTCATACACTGGACAAAAACATTTTTATTAATGTTGATATACAAAGTATGGGCCAGGGCAGAGGAACAAGGATGTAACAGGAAGCTGGCGGCTCGGTCAGTGGCGAGAGATGCTCCAGACCTCCCAACAGCTGCCGTGGAGGACACTCGGTGGCACAAGAAGACTTGCTTTAGCAACGTTCATATCAGAGACTGCAAGGAGCTGACCTCTACCCAGAGGACAGACGCTCGGGTTAGTGGATCGATATAGGGGAACAGTGGGCAGTAACAAAGGAAACCACAAAAACTGTCACGGGAAGAGCTACAAGGTCCACCCAGCGGCCAGCGAGACACAACCTGTGCACGGTGCTGTCCATGAGTTTCAGACACTCGCAGGCAAACGACCATACCCAGCCAGCTCTGCTTAACACTTGTTTTGAAAACAGTAACAGCACCACTGATAAATGAGGAAATAATTTGAACATAATGCAAATCTCCTGTTTGGTGTATGTAATGTCATCTGTAAGAGATAGGAGGGCGCTCATGCCACATGCCCAGCTGAGCCCCTGTGCAGGCACAGCCATCACCTCACTGCACACCACACCGCCAAGCAGTCTCAGACACCAGCCCCTCCTCCTCACATAACCCACACTACAGATCCCAAGGCCCACTTCCATAAGCTAGTAAGGGCTTTTCTCAAGGACAAAGCCATATTTACTGCAGCAGTTACATGTTTCTTTACCACTCCACATGTGTGATGAGCTGACTACCTGAGTTATCAGTGCTGCTGACAAAGATTCTGAGTGCAGAGCCCTCACCACTGCCCACCAAAGAATGCCCCACTGGTTTTACTGTGTGATTTTATAGTGATTGTTAATTGCATTACAGCAAAACTGCCAGTATTTCAATAGCTACACATAAAAATAGCTTGTGTCATTCAAACTGCCAGCACCACACTTAGCAAAAGTGAGTTTGTAAGGAATCACATAATGCAAGAGAACCCATAATACTCCCCACAAAGAAAACAATGCTAGGACCCAGGAGACCTAGTCCTTGCCTTGCCATCAGCTTGCTGGTAAGCTCAGGCAAGAGGTCTGACCTTCGCGAGTTCTTCACTATTTAAATTGGGGTAGCAGCTTTCCACCAACCTAACACAGCTCTGCTGTCAGTGGCATCTCTGGCTCTCAAAGCAACATGCAGAAATGTGCACGGCGGCCAAAGAAAGCACGGTCACAGTCCTGCTAAGAGGGAACAGTAATCGTGGGGAAAACAGACAAAAGTGACTGAGCACCCACGCTGGCAAAGCCAAGTCTCAGAGCAGACGTGGCTCCTTACTTCATGGTGCGTGTCCTCCAGCTCCCCATCATATATCCAGCGGTAGAGGAAGCTCAGGATGGGGTGCGACACCAGGCTGAGGATGTGCTGCACCAGGGCCCGCATGTAGGGGTCTCCTGTCTTCGTGTAGGCGTGGACAGCTGAGGCCAGCTCACCTCCTTTCCTTCCTGGAGGGGAAAAGAAGGAAATACTTGAAAACACCCAAATTTACCAGGACAACCACTTCACACTAACAAAAAGTATCCAAGTTGAAGTCAATTTTAGATCTACAAGCAGCAATGACAGGTAATGAGTCTGGGTCCTCAAAACTAAGATTCTAATCCAGAAAATCTTGGTCTTTCCAGAACCCAGGCAGTCATTTCCTGCTTCTTGACAGCTAAGGAGGTTTCAGTAGCAAAGAGCAACAAAGAGTGACCAGTTACACAGTCTATAGAGCTCATGGGACTTTTCACACTTTGTTGACTAAGATTTATCAAGATCAACATTTCATATTGCAATTCAGTACACAAATATATATTAAAAAACAAAGGTTCTGGCTCGGAGCCTGTGGCTCAAGTGGCTAAAGCACCAGCCACATACACCCAAGGTGGCGGGTTC